ATGATATATATCTACATTATTAAATTGTTTTACAAAAATAATGTCAATATTCATTGAATGGTAAGATTATAACATATTTGCAGTGAGTGGGCTAATGCGGTAATCTAAATGCTGTGTTGAGACCTTGGCACACAACATGGGCATTATAGAGGGATTGAAGTGAAGTTCAAATCAACTGCAATATGTGCCTGTTACATTGAGAAAATATTACAAAATTCATTGATTTTGGTACTGAACAACATCTGTTTTTTTGTTTCTTTTTGGGTTTTTTTTTTCTTGGAAACTGTTTATTGTTACTGACACTAGCCTGTCATTCAATCATTTTCAAGCAAATTTGTAGCGAATTTAAGTACTTTTAAAGAGAGTTATCAAATTCAAGGACTTTTAAGCACTTTTTATCATTTTCAAGCACTTTATAAGAAAGGGACTGAAATTTAAGCACTTTTTAATTCTGTACAAATCCTGTGTGTACCTTTTTACTCTAATTGCGATAATGTGAAACTTCAAAATGATAGTGTGACCTTGACCTTTACGGTAGGGACGTGGTTCTTTAACGCGACACATCGTCTTGATGTGGTAGACATTTGTGCTAAGTTATTTCAAAATCCCTCAATATATGACAAATGTCCGGACACGAATGAAGTGGGACAGACGGACATACGCGCGATTATATTATGCCTCCATTCGGGGCATAAACAGTTATTAAATCGTATCTTGCAAAGAATTTATAATTTTTCTTTGCGTTATGTATAAAATATTATATGTTTAATTTTGCCAGGGTCTTTCAAATATATTTCCTTATGATAGGCCCGGATTTAATAAAGTATTTATATGTGCATTCTTTTTACAGACAAACTGGTATAATAATTCATCAATCAATCATGTAATATCAGAAATGGAATTTTACTTATTGTTCGTGTAGCAAAATTCAATACTTACCACCTTCCTACTTACCTGGATTTTTTTACGAAATTGTACACAGATGTTGGTTCATAGTTCAATAGTTTGTTAAGTATCTGACTGCGTATCTTTCTGACAGTGAAAGAAACTTGGAGCCTGCAACATTTTCAATTTTGCCGTGTTGGGCTTTCTTTAGGGATTCTGTATTTATCTATTTTATGATCACATCCGTGTTATTTGTGCCGTGTGGCGGCTGTAAAAAGTCTCCCCGTACATTTAATCAATAATGTTATATTTTCGATCCTTGAAGATCGTTCAGCACGACATTATTGTTGTGCTTGTGGTATTCAGGGCTGGGAATCAAAACTGCGTCGTATCCTACAAAATGTAAACAAACGCCGCCATCTTGGAACGAAAAACGTATGTTTTTGTTCATAACTTTTTTTGTTGGAAATGACTGAAAACCAGATATATGTTTTAACACGCTACACTATTTTTCGCTTCGTTCGGTATATGTTGCTTGCACAACTATTTTGTAAAACAAAAGTTAGAGCGAACTTGCAACTCGAAGCGGAGCAGAGTTTTTATGAAAATGTGTGGATACGACGCAGTTCATATTGCTTTATTTATCGTTTTTCCTTCAAATCAAATATATATTTGTTTCAGAGTTCACCATACACTTCGAAATTTAATTTTTCATCATTTACTAAAATTTCATTAAAAAGAGATGTTTATTTTCTAAGAAAATAATGATTTTTACGAAATGATACGACGCAGTTGGAAATAAAATATGATACGACGCAGTTGTATTTTTGGCAGTATTTTCAACAAGGATAATTTTGACAATAGATTTCTATTTTATGGAATAATCATTTGCGATAGATAGAAAAAACCAAGATCATTTGCGGTGTATGTCAATGTTCTGTTGCTTTTGATTATTTAGAATACATTTAATTTGAAAGTTTACATTGCGGAAGCTACTTCTCAGTTAAACATGAACAGGTTACCTAATTGATCATAATATCTGAAATAATTTCTTATGTTTTCCAGTCTGTTCAATATTATCACTATTTTTTTTTTCGGAAAAAAAAAAAAGAGTAGAAATCTATTAACTTGAATTCATTTTAAAATTTGGCTAGCTACGCTCTGAGTTAACTGTGGTTCTGCATGTTCTGGATAATGACTGCTTTTTGTGGTTTGTTTTCAACTTTCAATCTACACATTAGCTTTACTAGGGGCGAGGCCAGGTGCGCCTTTGTGCATAATTTCAGGCAAAAGGTTGTACCGGCAGAGAACCATTAACATTTTGCAACTAGCTTGATAGTTTTTTTTACACGAAAGAATAAAAAGTCCCTGGTGGTTTTCGAATTCATAGCAGTTCAGTTCAAGTAATTTGCATTCAGTAAACATAAACAGCTCGGCCTCGGTAGGACACACCAGTCTGATTTGTTGTTTTTTTTTGGGGGGGGGGGGGTTTGGGTTTTTTTTTTCAACAAAATTTGTTAACGTCAGCTGTACAAATAAGCAGATGTTTTTATTAACTTCTGGTGTGGAGTTTTAAGATTATCAATATTTGAGTTAATTATAAACAGAATAACATTTAAAGATATACTATGCTCAAATTTGAGGTTATTGCTACACAGTCTCTTTGTAAATATAAAATAAACATGTTTTGACTTCACACAAAGTAGATATTTTATGTTTAAAACTTTACACGCTATAAGTGGTCACAATATGTATATATAGTGTCGTTAAAAAAACTGGCAGTATTTTTAAGAAATACCAACTTTACTTGTCCTGTAGTACGGAACGCGACTTCCAATGCATAGTAAATTCGTTTTATTATTAAAATTAGACATATTCAGTAAGGATTTCATAGTTTTTAACAGATTTCTTTGATTAAAATATTTTACTCAAAGATGAGCATAGTATATCTTTAAATTTCTTATCTCGGTATGACTAGCAGAGAAATTTTCAATGTAAACAGGGGGTAATCCTCTTTGAAGTCATTTTCTGAAAACTTTTGTTAAGTTTTCAGGCAATTCATTATCAAATAAAAATCACACTTTAGTATGAAGGTATGTTAAGATGCCATGTCTCTAGTCTGTTGAAAATTCGATGCGATAATCTGACCTAAATTTTCTGTTCAATATTGTGAAAACTTCTTCAGTACTGTTGAAAGATCATGTCTGCCTATATCTGTATCAAATTTATCGGTGCACAGCGTAAAATACCTTTGCAAAACGGACACCTTCTTTACAAAATAATTTGTAGTTGTATCATATGTAACTCGATTTTGAAAATTTAAAGTTTTTTAATGGAGAAGAATATGATACTTAATTAAGTGCAAATATAGAAAATACATTCTGTAGACCTATCCTCATCGGCTATACGACAAAATCAGCGGTAAAGTACTAAACGGAACGCATAACCTACTTGCAAAAATATATTGTAGCTTAACCATTTATAATATAATTTTAAAAATTTAAAGTTCAGTTGCTCATCTGTTCTCACCAATTATTAAGAAAATGAATACAGTAAAATCGGCACGTAAAAGACATAAGTAATAACGGAATTAACGGAAATTATTGCTAATTACAAGTAACAAAGGTCATCATGCAATTTGCGCATAGCTCTCTTCCGATAGCAAGAGACCTTCAAAATTTGTAATTCTTTCTCTTTTATCTTTAAAAAAAGGGTCATTCCTGATTAATACAGGGTCCAGGAGTGGTTACACTGGAATATTGAATTTTGTATCAAAAATAGTAAAAACTAATGGGAACAATTTTAGAAGCACGCTAAGGCAACACTGGAACACGTTGTCATATTGGTGTGCGATCACGTGTTTCAATGTATATTGCATTTGATACAGCTTTTCGGATTTTGTAGATGCTTATGATAGGTACTAAAATGCGACCGAAAAATGCAGCCTTAATAGAATTGTATTACATTTCCATTTTTATGGAACCAATGAGTGACATCTGCTTTTGACTTAAGTTGTAAACAAGAAATGTTGTTGGACATTATTAGCATACCTAGCACATAATTTAAATAGTTTAACCAATATGCAGCCTGCAATGAAAATACAACTGCGTCGTATCATATTTTATTTTTCAACTGCGTCGTATCATTTCGTAAAAATCATTATTTTTCTTGGAAAATAAACATCTCTTTTTTGGTGAAAGTTTAGTAAATGATGCAAAATTATGTTTTGAAGTTTATGGTGAACTCTGAAAACGAATATATTTTTTATTTGAAGGAAAAAACGATAGATAAAGCAATATGAACTGCGTCGTATCCACACAATTTCATAAAAATTCTGCGCCTCTTCGAGTTGCAAGTTCGCTCTAACTTTTGTTTTACAAAATAGTTGTGCAAGCAACATATACCGAACGAAGCGGAAAATAGTGTAGCGCGTTAATACATATATCTGGTTTTCAGTCATTTTCAACAAAAAGAGTTATAAACAAAAACATACATTTTTCGTTCCAAGATGGCGGCGTTTGTTTACATTTTGTAGGATACGACGCAGTTTTGATTCCCGGCCCTGGGTATTTTTAGTTTCAACTTTTCGGCATTTTCTAGTTGGGTGGTTCCAATATTCCTACTTGAATAATGTTGAATCATCCTTAGGATATGTTGCCTGCTTTTTAAATTAGTCTTTTGACGTCTTATCTGTGATACGCAGGCTTCATAACCTCTGACCCCCTTTCAAAATTCCATTTTATTTAGTTCCGCCCATTGTTTTCTCGTTTAGGGCACACGCTTTTTATTACTTGGGGACCATACGCCGCTTTTCATGGAATGGCACGGAAGTGTCACATTGAAGGTTCCATGATAACCGCCGTATGAACACATCTGCGGATGTTTCTAAATTCAAAATTTTACTATTTCCTGTTTAAATGTTGAATTCTGCTTAAGCCGGTGCTAGGGGGCGTGGACGGTAATTTGCACTTTCCAGTACCGTCCATAAACAGGCTCAATCAAACCGAGCCTGCAACATTTTCAATTTTGTTTCTTTAGGGATTCTGTATTTATCTATTTTTTGGAATTATTATGCCGATATTAAGCGAATATATTGGTATATTGAAATGTTCCAGGAAAAGTCTTCAAGAAAGTAAGAGGAGGCAAAAGAAGATTTATGCTAAACGAATTACGAAGAAACAGAAAGAAAAGTAATTAAAGGATGACAACATAAAATAGATAAATACAGAATCCCTAACGAAAGCCCAACACGGCAAAATTGAAAATGTTGCAGGCTCGGTTTGATTGAGCCTGTTCATGGACGGTATTTGAAAGTGCAAGTTACCGTCCACGCCCCCTAGCACCGGCTTAAGCAGAATTCAACATTTAAACATGAAATAGTGTAACTCCTTTGAAATTTATCATTTTGAAAGGGTGAATAAAAGTCAAGGATTTGTAGGTTCTTTATCTCTTTTATTTTCTGTTGACACAGCATGTATCTTAGACAAGACTATAGCTAGTTCAATACAATCAATCATCTAAGTAACCAAGTAACCAAGTAACCACACTCTGAAAATACATAATTAACACATTCTAAATATATATTACATTTAACATTCTTGAATTGCATAAATCAATCACAATCAATTGCATAAATCAATCAATCATATTCAATTGCATAAATCAATCAATCATATTCATTCCAGTGGCTTTTAATTAACATCAAACATTTTATCATACAATATCATAAAACACTTGTACATTTACAGCAATATATCACACTTACTAGTTTATGGAACTAAGTGTTTACATCAACACATTTACAATATACACTCTTCTCTCTCTCTCCAGTGTGCTGTTACTATCCTGCAAATTATAGTAAACAATGTGCATAGAGTTTGAATAGAATGTGAGATTATTTATTTATTAATTAATTGAGAAAAGAAAGATATGATACTGCGATATTAAACCAGTCCTTAGAGTCCAAAAATAAGACACAGCAACCATTTAAATTACTTATCAAATTCACTATCATAATTCAATTAAAAAACAACATTAAGGTAAACAATACTTAATGCTTTGGAAATCATCAAAAGCAGTTTAAACTTTACATACCTTATAAATAATACTGATATTCCATAAATCACAAAAATTTAAAAACCATGAGGACAATGTACATGTCTCTTCCTAGAAAACGTGAGCTCAACTGAACACAATAGTCACATGATCAAACTGGCGGGAAATCATAACCACTGACCCATAGAATAACACTGGTCCAAGGGAAACAACTCTCTTAATGACATATAATAAAGACTGACAGATTGTGTCCCTGTTACAATAGTAAAAATTTTGAATTTAGAAACATCCGAAGATGTGTTCATACGGAGGTTATCATGGAACCTTCAATGTGACACTTCCATGCCATTCCATGAAAAGCGGCGTATGGTCCCCAAGTAATAAAAAGCGTGTGCCCTAAACGAGAAAACAATGGGCGGAACTAAATAAAATGGAATTTTAAAGGGGATCAGAGGTTATGAAATATGATAAACAAGATCAACAAGGAAAGGCGGCGTTCAATGAAGCCTGCGTATCACAGATAAGACGTCAAAAGACAAATTTAAAAAGCAGGCAACATATCCTAAGGGTGATTCAACATTATTCAAGTAGGAATATTGGAACCACCCACCTAGAAAATGCCGAAAAGTTGAAACTAAAATACCACAAGCACAACAATAATGTCGTGCTGAACGATCTTCAAGGATCGAAAATATAACATCATTGATTAAATGTACGGGGAGACTTTTTAAAGCCGCCACACGGCACAAATAACACGGATGTGATCATAAAATAGATAAATACAGAATCCCTAAAGAAAGCCCAACACGGCAAAATTGAAAATGTTGCAGGCTCGTTTGATTGAGCCTGTTCATGGACGGTATTGGAAAAGTGCAAGTTACGTCCACGCCCCCTAGCACCGGCTTAAGCAGAATTCAACATTTAAACATGAAATAGTAAAAATTTTGAATTTAGAAACATCCGAAGATGTGTTCATACGGAGGTTATCACGGAACCTTCAATGTGACACTTCCATGCCATTCCATGAAAAGCGGCGTATGGTCCCCAAGTAATAAAAAGCGTGTGCCCTAAACGAGAAAACAATGGGCGGAACTAAATAAAATGGAAAACAGAAAATAATAGAAAGGAGGGAGCTAACAGAATAAAGATGGATATATTTAGGAGAGCTTGGCTAACTAAATGTTTACATATGGAGTGTTCGGAGAGAAAGCAGAATGAAAGATGAGTTAAATGGGGGGTATGGGGTTTAAGGGCCCCTTGTGATGAGAGAAACGGGGTGAGAAAAGGAAAGCATAAAAAATGTTTTAAGTATAAATAAAAAGGGGAAGGGTATAGAAAATTGAAGAAAAGGGACTAAACCTTGAAACTGTTGCAAATAAAAAACCAAAATAGTTTGTATCAAAAGGAATAAATGTTACATGCACTTGTGATCATGCCAATGTTTGTTTATTTGCTTATAGTAAATATCTGGAAACAAAGTGATTCCTCGGAAGCATTATTCACAACAAAATAACAAGACAATTGCAGACTAGGTTTGATTGAGTCTGTACATAATATTGGGTTGTATATGCTTCATTATATATATAAAAGGGGGGGGGGGGGGGGGGGCGGGGTGAGGGATGTAGAACATGTTTTTTTTTATTCTTTATCCCTCATGTACAGACTCAATCAAACCGAGTCTACAATTTCTTAAGTAATTTTGTTGCGATACAATGCTTCCGAGGGATCACTTTGTTTCGAGATTTTAATATACATGAGGGATAATGAATAAGTTCTACATCCCTCATGTCCCCTAGCACCGGCTTGAGCGGTACTCAATTCTCTTCACTTATAGTGCTGGCATCAATGATCTCGAAGGACCAGAAAAATATAACAATATTGAAGTGAAGTACGGGGCAACTTTTTAGAGCTGCCACACGGCACTAAAATTAACACCCGCTGTTGTGAAGTATAAAAATCTGCAAACAAAGTGATCCCTCGGAAGCACTTTCATATGCATAAAATCTTTAACAAGAGCCGGTTGAACCGGGTGATGCTCCCTGAATAGGTTTTCGGCACAGAAAAGTATATATTTTGTAGTTTCAGAGTTATGTTCCAGACAAAGTTCAGTATGATAATTCCAAACTTAGACAAGGCAGAGTTACTGTTCTTTACACTGCACTTCTACACACTTTACACTGCACTTCTACACAATGAGATCTATCTACCGACTTGCGACCGACACTTTGTCTCAATATGGTGATCATTTCTGTGAAATAGTTTTAAAATCCGACTTCAAATAACGAAGTTATGGGCGGGATACGATTTTGCTTCAAGGTCCTGTTGTGACATTGACCTTCAAGGTACGACCAAAATGTTGTGCGCGACACGTCTAAATATGGTGATCATTTCTGTGAAAAAGTTGTAATATCCGACTTCAAATAACGAATTTTGCTTTTTTAAGGGCGCATAAAAATTGGCTTTTTTATGTAAGAAAGTACCAACTTTTTTGACCTATAATAGCGAACGCAGCTTCCCATACATAGTTTTATCAAAATATGATGAACAAGATGCACGCAAACCCCCCCATATAACCCAGCAACAAGAACCAGCGGCAAGGAGCCAAGGCGGACCCCAAACAAAAACAGGACAGGTTAATCACTAAATGATAAATAATTTGTAACCGATTAGGAATTAAAAGAAAACAAATAAATGATTGAATAATAGGCCCACAAAGTCAAAAGGCAAAGGGAAGGAGACCAGGGGAAAGGGGGTGGGGGTTAATCAAAGAAATAAAAACTAGGGGTAAAGGGGGAAGATACTTACCGTAGACGAGAAAATAACAAGGGACACAAGCAAGTGTCACCAAAACAGTATGAAACAACATTGACATACATCTAAAGAACACAGAGGGGCGCCGCCTTGGAACGGTCAGCAGCATAATAATGACTGCTGGGGAGTTTAAACCGGTTAATGGTGCACCAAACCTCGCTCTTAGCCTAATACTTGTATTCAAATTAAACATATTAAGTTTTTTGTATGTTTTACTGTATCGTTGTTGCTAATGGATTTACATGTCCCTCTCTTTTCACCGCCTTTATGTCCACTCCAGGTTTTAGTTTGGTGCCTTCTTGGTGCCTAACTTTGGTAAGTCAGGGGGCTACGTCCTGTGAACGTTACCTTTGCCTTGTTGATCTTTATTCTTGCTTTTACCTTGATTATGCTCGTAATTCTCTTACTTATATCCCCTTTCACAAGAATCATTGTTATCTTTATTCGTGGAATTGTTTTGTGTTTTTTTAAGTACTCCGTAGATTTTCTCTTTTTTTCGTTTGTTTACAAAATTCGGGGGCTGCGTCCTGTGAACGTTGCCTTTGCCTTTGCCTTTGTTGATCTTTATTTTTGTCTTTTACTTCAAACTCTATGCCATTTAATCTATTTTTCAAAAAATGAAAGTGTTTTCCTAATAAAAGTGCAGATGCACTTTAATTGTTTAAGATTGATATTTGAAATTCTTGACATATAGCCAGACGTGTTGGCAATATAAACGGCAATTAACTGCGATTTTTTTTATTCATAAACGAATAAAATGTATTTAAAATAGATGCAAAAGTAATTGCCACTGTAACGATGTTATATACCGAGATATGCAGGCTTCCTGACCTCAGATCCCCTTTTAAAATTACATTTATATAGTTCCGCCCATTGTTATCTCGTTTACGGCTCATACATTCTTTTGCTCGGGGACCATACGGCCCGCTTTTTTCCCATTTGAAATACACAAAAGAGGTTCCACCATTGGGAAGGTTTTGCCCGCAAAAAGAAAACGCCCTCGGGTTTTGATTGAAAAAGCCCCGGTGTTTTATGGGACGGTAAACTTAGAAAGTACCGTCCACGCCCCCTAGCACAAACTTAAGCAGAATTCAACATTTTAAAACAAAAATGGTGAAATTCTGAATTTAGAATCCTCCGCAGATGTGTTCATACGGCGGTTATCATGGAACCTTCATTGTAACGCAGTGGTGTCATTCCATGAAAAGCAGCGTATGGTCTCCAAGTGCCCTAAACGAAAAAACATTGGGCTGAACTAAATCAAATGGAATTTAGAAAGGAGATCTGAGGTTACGAAGCCTGCATAATACAGATATACAGATATAAATAAAGTGGAATTTTGAAAGGGGATCTCAGGTTATGAAATAGAGATAAACAGAATCCCTAAAGAAAGCCCAAAACGGCAAAATTGACAATGTTGCAGGCTCGGTTTGATTGAGCCTGTTCATGGACGATATGAAGCCTGCATATCACAGACATGACGTCAAAAGACAAATTTAAAAAGCAGGCGACATATTCTAAGGGTGATTATACAGTATTCAAGTAGGAATACTGGAACCACCCAAGTTAAAAAAAAACGCCAAATACAAGAAACTAAGTTTCTTAAAACAAATATATAAGGGGCACAGGTTATAAGTTTAAACTATTGACAAATAAGGGAAATCCACGACCCACCTATGAAGGGCCAATTTAGGCTCTAGGGGCCCTTTTTAACTAACTTTTTTGCAAAATTTTTTGGGTGCTTTTTTGTATTTTAAATTTGGCTTTTTGTTAAAAAACTAACGTAACCCCGTAAAATATGTTTGACCAAAATCAACAAGGGAAAGAGCGGGCGTTAAATAACCCAACCCGACACAAAACGTAGCAACAAAAAACCATTTGCAAGGGGGCCCTGTGGACCCAAAAACAAAAAAGGGACAGGGGCGAAAGGGGGAAGAGCCGGACAGGCTTATCATAAAAAAAGAAAAATGTTTACATAAGAAAAAATTTAATGAAACCCAAACCAAAGAAATAAAAAAACTAAAAATAAAAAAAAGTTGTTTAAATTTGGTCCACTAAGTAAAAGGGGAAGGGGGGGGGGTGTTTTACAAAACTTTCATAAGTTTTTTCTCAAACTCACGTTAGACTAGTTCGTAACTCTTCAATGCAGGTTTTAATAATTATTTATTTAGGAGGTCTCTAGGAAGTATTTGACAAAATAAACTTGTTTCTATCAGACAATAAAAAATAGTCAATACCTTTGGTATGTAGAATGTCTTTGATCTCTTTCTATATTGATACTTCTTTAATTACAAAGTTATTTAAGTCCGCATGGTGAACATCTATCTATTTCCGAATATTTTTTATTACAGAATAAATCACGAATGAATAAAGTATACATTGCATTATGATAGTGATCCGTAATTGTGTCGCTAATTTTTTTACATCCTACACTTATGGATCTC